ACTGCAAAAACGCCGCGCAACAGGCAGTCTCTCTTGTATTTGTCGGCAGTTTTCTCTGCATAAATGCATACCGTGAAAAGAGCACACGCCAATCTAACAGTTACTTCGGATTTAATCAACTCTGTCCTCCTAGACCTTGTGACCAAAGCAGTTACAGACGGACTACGCCAGTCTCTCCAAAAAACCGCTGTTTATCCTGCAGGGGGATGCGTGACTTGCATGAAGGCCCTGGTATCCACACATATGCATATAGAATGAGAACCGATTAAAAAGTTGGGAGGCTGGAATGACCATTTCTGACTTGTTAATAGCTGTCAGCCAATCACGTACAATCCTAGCTTTGACATCTCCGGATTCCCCTCCGGCTTATTTGACCAGCAAGCCTAATGGCCGACGCAGTTTTCGTGATGAGCTACTGGGTTTGGCTGACTGATGGTGGTTATTTAAACGGAAATAAATATCCCAATTTTTCTTGCCTTGTCCATAAGTCTTCTGAAACATTGTTGGTGTAGGAGGGCTCTAGATTAAACCCCAAGGCGCAGCGAGATAGGCATGTCCTGTAATCAGATTGGTAAAATCCCATTCCATGAACATTTCTGTGATTGAGGCACACGCCATGTCCTCAACGTAGCTATTATTTAAAAGCTCAGGCATCTGGATTCAAATCCTGGGTTGTCCGAAACTCGTGTTGGATGCGACTGGCTGTGGACGTCCAGTAAGTCAGACCTGACCATCGCAATTTTCCTTATTTTTTAGGTACTCCCAAGACGTACCAAGTCGAGCGTGCCTTAACCCAATCGCTGAACGCACATCCAAAATAGAGTAGGTGGGCTTACTCATGAAACTTCAACCTAAATTCTGAAAAGCGTTTTTGTTTCGAAAAGATTAGTTAGCAAAACTAGCCAGCCTGCAACATAATTCTATAATATTTCAGTTACGTCAAGGTGCCGGCTTTCGAATGAACGTCCTTCCGGCTGCATGCAAAAACTACACTCTGTAAAAAATGACTACTTATGTAGCATGACTTTTTCTCATTGATTTTCGATGCCCCAAAAGTCCAATTACATTTCATGAAAGCCATAAAAAAACATTCATTCTTTTGCTCATTTGGTGAAAAATGAAGTCTTCTTTCAATCTTATACTCGAAAGAAGGGTATAAATCAGGTTTAAAACACTTTTCCAATTCCCGAATAATTTTGAACCCGCTCTACCGTCAGACTTGAATTCAGGGTTTCCAAACTCCAATGCATGTATTTTCCGCATATAGAAAAATTTCACATTTCTCTATGGTAATGAAGGGGATCGTATAGGATTCATAAAATTTAGCAGTGGATTTGATCCATATTGGTAACTTTACAATCTGAAGTAGGCAAGAACAGCAGGATTTATTGGCACCAAAAAATTTTGCGACTGCTCTTCAGCTGCTTCCTGTCGCTTCATAAGAGGGATAACGAGTGAGAACAATACAACAGATTTGAATTCATGCAGAAAATCGATGCAGAAACAGCAAGGTTAGGGTTTGGGGCAAAGTTGGCTAATCGATAAAGTTAATAACACAAACGCCCTAGGGGAAGAAAGTGAAAAAGAAGGAAACGTTAAAGAGCAAAAAATGAGAGGAGAGAGGGGGAAGCATGGAGCCAGAGGCTACCATGGTAATGTTAGGTTAACAACGTGCTCCAATTGTTTACAATGTTCTGGTTTCACTCGTCGTATATAGGCTGCCTCCAGGTAACGCAACATAATTCTATAATATTTCAGTTACGTCAAGGTGCCGGCTTTCGAATGAACGTCGAGTGAAACCAGAACTTTGTAAACAATTGGAGCACGTTGTTAACCTAACATTACCATGGTAGCCTCTGGCTCCATGCTTCCCCCTCTCTCCTCTCATTTTTTGCTCTTTAACGTTTCCTTCTTTTTCACTTTCTTCCCCTAGGGCGTTTGTGTTATTAACTTTATCGATTAGCCAACTTTGCCCCAAACCCTAACCTTGCTGTTTCTGCATCGATTTTCTGCATGAATTCAAATCTGTTGTATTGTTCTCACTCGTTATCCCTCTTATGAAGCGACAGGAAGTAGCTGAAGAGCAGTCGCGAAATTTTTTGGTGCCAATAAATCCTGCTGTTCTTGCCTACTTCAGCTTCGTACCGGGGACAAAATGCTTCAAACTTTACAATCCACATTGGTAAATGCAGAGACATGTCGCTTTATGAACGGCCATTTAACGGTATTTAAAAGTCCCACAATCAGATACTTTTTAAAATCATATCATAACCTTCCTTCGAGTATGAAATTGTAAGACAGCGTAATTTCCTACCGAAGAAGGCGAATAATGACTATTTGTATTCATGATTCTCATGAAATATAATTGGACTTTTAGGGGAATCGAAAATCAATGACAAAAGCTCATGCCACTTGAGTAGTCGTTTTTTACAGAATGCCGTTTTTGCATGCAGCTGGAAGGAAGTTCATTCGAAAGTCCGCGTCTTGAGATAACTGAAATAATACAGAATTATGTTTCAGGCTGACTAGTTTTAGAACCCTACTTAATTAATGTTTTCAAAACGAAGGCGAATTTAGGAATTTCGGTTGGCACTTCTGTATATAAAAAAATCTGTAAAACAAATCCGTATAAAAGTGCCTACGGCGCTCTGGATTGTGCTCCCAAACGCTGCAGAATGTCTCACATCCCCAACAAGGAACGCCCGTTACTTGTTTCATGAAACGTGATGACAGAAGGTGAAATGAGAATTATCGGGCACATACGTCATTGCGCGTCTTGTCCTCTAGCTTTCGCCATTAAAGGAAATGTGGTTTTCTTGTGCATAGAATGTCTTAGCAATGATATCGAGCAAAATGTTCATAGATTTGGATAAGAATGAGCGTTCTGATATATTTGGGGGATTTCCTATGTTTGTATCTGTCCTAGACTTTTGTCGCGCATCTGAGCGTGTTCTTCTTTAAGAGGAACGTAATCCGCCCTCGATGGTTCTACTAAACAGTGCTTGCGCACTTGAAAATTGGTTCCTAGTTTGATGTCAACCGTGAGAACGGGTTTGCTAACATACAGACTATTAATGTTAGGGGGCGCTCACCGATCGTTCATACGGAACTCACTCGTTCCGTTGTGCCTTATGGACTCTCTCTCGAGCCCCCTAACATTGTATATTCCCGATCGAAAACCGACAAGGCAACGGGCTCGTGGCCCGGTGAGTAGAGGCGTTGACTTCTAAACCAACAGGTCGCGAGTTCGAGGCTCGGGTGTTCCACACTTCGGGCTTGGGTATGGCTGGCTGACGACGGCTAATAAGCCAGAAGTGGCCATTCCAGTCTCCCTTGTCTTTGTCGGCAATACCATTCTGCATACAGACTATTATTAGATAGCCAAACGTTTTATCGATTTTTAAAGTCAGATTACTAATTCTGCGCGATTTCGTGCCCTTAATGGCTGTAGTAACGCACATATTCAGCACTTCGTTTAAATGGGCGGAAATTGTTTTGTGTTTGAAAATCATTATGAGATGACATCGAAAACACTATCACCGAATGGTCATTTCCAGTTTTGAACATTTGGAACGTTACTTCTCGCGCGGTATATGTTTTACGTATAAGTAATTTGGAAATGAAACGAGCAAGACATTGGTAGGTCTAGAAGGACATCAGTATTTATATTTACACTCCATTACGTTGTTGTGACAGTTCGACCATCGGTTTCGATGATGTCCATCGTGTGCCCCACAGTTGCAGCAGCAATGGGAGCAGGGACGGTGACTTACGCAGGGGTTTATAGTGCCGGTAGACTTGCGTAGCATCTACCTACACTCTCTCCTCCTCCCTCGCCCGAGCCCGGTGTCAAGACAGTGTCAAGAAGACCGGAGACGAGAGAGGCCGCAGGTGGATGGCTCGGACGGATCCTCACCTTGGCGTTCCACCACACCCCCTGGTCCACACAACAAATAATCAGGATTTCAACCAACACAAGAGAGATTTGGAGGCTGGCACAGCCGAAGCCGCACCTGGGCGTGCCGCCAACGCCTGGCTCGGATCCCACACTGTGGTGGGAATGCCATAAAGGCCACATTAAAAAGGAGCCATTGCAGCCTGACTCTCAGACCGCCTCCGGTCATGGAGGAGGTCCAAGGTACCCCGTCAGTTGGCAACCTTCCAAGCCACGGCTTTTAGCGCACCGTGATAGCTTCAAGCGCGTCAGATTGTTTATAGTGAGGAGAAAGCGCGCTGAGTCGTCGACCTCACTCTCCCTTCCCACTCCCACACCCCAGCCGCTGTCCGAGCCGGTCAGCAGACTGGAGTGGGGAATGGGCGCGGTGGCTGTCATGGTCGACTGACCATGACTGCGCGCGCCACGGCACGACCTGGCCCCCCATACACACAAAACCAGGATTTCACACAACGGGGGTTGAACGGCGTGTCTCTCACTTGCGTGAGAGTGCCGTGGAAGGTGCTGTTGCAGCCCGTTCCCAGCCCACCAGTCCGCCACTCCACACAACACACACAAAACGCGACAAACTGCGTGAACCGAGAGCGGGCGTCAATCAGCAACCTTCCTATCCACGACGCTTGACGTGTCGGGATAGTCTCGGACTCAAGTCACCCGTGCAGCCGAAGCCGCATGGGGACCGAGTCGAGATGCGGACTTCCCACTTGCGTGGGAGGTGGCAGTTGGGTGCATGAGGTATGTGAGTGTTGATGGTGGTGATGGTGGTGGTGGAGGAGGTAGGGAGTGAGTGAATGCGTGGTGTGGCCGGCGGTTGTCTACTGCAGGTCGTCGTGGATGCGCATGTGGCCGAATAGGCTCATGCGATGCCTGAAAGTGCGAGGACAGTGTGGGCAGTTGAGGCGAGCTTGGTGGGTATAGGTGGGTGCTCCAGGCACTGCTTCGCCAGTCTCTGTGCGATGGATTCGCAAGTGACCGACCAGGCCGATGCGTGAGGTGAATGTGCGTGGACAGTGTGGGCATGAGAAGTCGGCGGTGTCAGTGTCAGCTACAGAGGAGGCGGCGGTGGTGTGGTGTCGCGGACGGATGGAACGAGAGTGGGGGTGTGCACGGTGGATGTGTTGGATGTAGTGGGTGTGTCGGGAGTGCGGTCAAGGCCGCTCTTGTGGATGCGCATGTGGCCGAAAAGGCCCATGCGATGCCTGAAGGTGCGAGGGCAGTGTGGGCAGTGGAGGCGAGTGCGGTGGGTGTAGGTTGGTGCTTCACGCACTGGTTCGCCAGTCTCTGTGCGATGGATTCGCAAATGACCGACCAGACCGATGTGTGAGGTGAAGGTACGGTCGCAGTGAGGGCAGGTGTAGTCCTGATTCTCATCCCTGGAGTCGGGGGAGGTGGTGGTAGTGTCGGTTGCTGTGCGCGGGACAGTCGCCTGAGCGGCCGCCGTTGGAGCAGTGGGCGAGGAGGAGGAGGAGGAGGAGTAGGAGGAGGAGGATGGTGGAAGTGATGGGTCAGGAGAATTGTCAGGGTTAGCTGGCGGCGGAGAGGAGGAGGAGGAAGAGGCAGGCGGGGGGACGATGGTTGGTGCCGTTCGAGAGGCGCAGTTAATCCGAAGATGTCCAACAAGTCTGATTCGAGCCCGGAATGTCCGTTGACATCGAGGACACGTTGGAAGCGGTTGTGCGGCGGCGTTGCTTACTGGGCGAAGTTGTGATTTGCGGGCTTCACGTTTCGCTTTGGCGGCAGCGATGCGGTTGGCTTCGTAGATCGCAGCGCCTGTCTTCACTGTTCTCCTCCAGGCCGGTCGATCGAGTGCGAGCTTCTTCCAGTTGGTGGGGTTGATTTGCAGGCATTTCAGGGAGGACTTCAGGGTATCCTTGTAACGGCGAATCTGGCCTCCTTGACGGCGAGAACCCGTCGCGACGCCTCCGTAGAAGAGTCGTTTGGGTAGTCGCTCGTCATCCATGCGCACCAGGTGGCCGCTCCAGCGCAGCTGAATTTGCCTCGGTATGGCGTAGATGCTGAGGATTCCTGTCCGTTCCAGCACATCAGTGTCGGGGATTCGATCCTGCGACTTCAGCCTCAGGATGCGACGAAGACAACTGAGGTGGAAGTGGTTCAGACGACGTGCCTGCTTTGCGTACACCGTCCAAGTCTCCGCTCCATACAGTAGTGTCGGCAGGATGACGGCCTTGTACATCTTCAGCTTGGTGCTCAGTTGGAGACCATGACGATTCCAAACTGTGCTTTGGAGGCGACCGAAGGCTTGACTGGCTTTCGAGATCCTGTTGGCGACTTCGTCATCAATCTTGATGTTGCGGGAGAGAGTACGTTGTTGTACGGAGCCTAACAATGAACGGGGACAGCGAAAATGGCCTCAATATAAACAGAAAGGCATGTTTTTCCGTTTGTGCCAGAAAAATCATCCGTATTTTTTGGCAGCGTGGAACAAACGTCCAAAAGCATCAAGCGTTTTCTTGGTTTCACCTTATATAAATAGAAGGAGCACAAATATCCGTTAAAATAATGTCGTGTCAAAGCGCTTCTTAAAATAACTTATTAAGGAAAATTTTCTCATGAGATTGAAAGTATAGTAGTGGTGGACTTTTATTGTGGTCGTTTATTTTATTTGACAATGCGGCTTCATGTTTGGGTGGGTCTTCAGATGTTACCTAAATGGCCGTCAATGGTATATGCCTTTCAAGTAGTATCTTAATTTGAAGGTTTTGATAGACATCTAGTAGCAAGCCTCTTCTGTGGTCAACCAATTTCAAAGCATTGCATATCATGAAGTATTGAGCAATAAATCTAAATTGGTCGGAAATTAATGCGAGAGCGTGAAAAATAAAACAACTTCTCGGGAAAGCGTCCTGGAATATATATTTAGAATGAAGGTTGTTGCCAAACTGCCATACCTGATACCTAAAGAAAATTTGGTGTCAAGTTTGCTAAAAGATTTTTGTCAAGTATTATTTCGACTTCGCTGTTATATTCACTTAGCCTTTAGTATGGACAGGCTTTCCGTACACCCAAAAATAGAAGTTTGCACGATTGCAAACATTTTTTTAATGTTGTTAGAAGTCTACTCTCTTCAAAAAAATGATAATTCTAAACAACTTACCATGAGCTTCGCTATTTCTTTCATGTTTTACAATTCCGTTAATGATGGTTTTAAAAGTAGAATTTGGGTCCGCGCACTGGTATTGGTGTTTGATTAGCAATCATTTGTCATTTCCTCAATTAGATCTCAAATTATATATGTATATATATATGTAGATCAGAGGTGTTATGCATTCCGAGTCGATAAAATGAAAACAGGAAGAGGTTCTTCGGAAAAATCGAGTTGTACTCGTGAATTTTCAAGCTGGTGACACCAACCCGTTGTCAGACGAAATGAAAACAGGGGAGAAAGTTTGTTTGTCGCACTGGACTAATTAGCGCGACAGGGCAGACAGACTATCGGCCTATGAGAGGGATGATCACAAAGTCATGGTAGGTCTCTGAGCGAGGGGGGAGGTGGAACAATTATGGATGCCTGTGCTGGAGGGGGCGGGTGTAATGGTGGATCAATTGGACTCCGGGTGGCTAAATTGGCGGCCGTTGCTGTGGCATTAGGGCGGGGGGCAGTAAGTCGTGAGCGTAGGCCCTCATAATGGGCGTCCAAGTCAACATGGCGGTTGATACTACCAGCACCGGAGTACCAAGCCTCGAGAAATTCTCTCGCCCGTTTTGTGTTAGCCATGGCAACGAACTCAGTGCCATCCCAATTGAATCGGTGGTCGCACTCGAGTGCGTGAGCAAAGACGAGGGACAGAGGGTCTCGTCGACGGACAGCCAGTTTGTGTTCATTAATACGGGTGCCCAGGCTTCGACCTGTATGACCAACATACACGCAAGAGCAATTTGAGCACGGGATGCGATAAATTACGTTTGCTTGTTGCTCTTTGGGGAGGGGATCCTTGATTCGAGATAGCGCCGCGCGTATTGAGGATGCTGGTTTGTGGGCGATGCGAATACCAGAGCGATTTAACTGCCGGGCGATTACTTCGGACGCTTCTTGCATATAAGGCAGGGAGAAGAATTGTCGAGACACAGCTTCCCCGTTGAGGGTGGGAGCCTGAGGTTATGCCTGGTGTCTGAGGCAGTTCTTTACGAAACTTGTCGGATATCCGTTGGATCGAAACAACCGATACAAGTAGGCAAGCTCTTTCTTAAGAAGATCGTCGCTGTTGCAATAACGATAGGCCCGGTGGAACAGAGTTCGAACGCAGCTCCTTGTATATATATATATATATATATCCTGAATGATAGAGAACACGCACGACCTAAATAATTGAATAGAAAAAGATGGAAAAACGATCGCCGGGATTAATTGTTTATTTATCCGGCGTTTCAAACTCTCACGCAAGCCCATCGTCAAGGAATGAAAAAATCCTTACAACCCACTGCATATTTAGTTCACATCTGCCAGGGGTGGCCTCCAGCTGCGATGCTGATTTGTTCACGCAGTGCTTGACAGGCGACTGGCAGATCGACATGTCGATTAATCGAGTCCTCCGTTGAGTGCCACGTTTCCTGCAGCAGGTGCGAAACTCGGTCGCCCGACTGGGCCACTACAAGGGAGAGTTTATCCTTCCTGCTCACATCCAACTCGTGCTCGTGCAATCTCGTAAGAGCCTGGTTGTCGCTTTCACCAACGTAATTGGCATGACCACAATTGCAGTCTATCCGGTAAATGACCCCTGATTTCTGATTGATGGGAATTGGGTCCTTAGGATGCATGAGTTGCCGACAGAGTGTTTGCTTCAGGTCTGCGAGGAACGCCAATCCCGAATTCGCTCATCAGTCTAGCAAATTCTTCTGATACACTGTGCGCCAACACTTTGGTTTTGGCTGCCCCATCGGTCTTCTTCCCGGGGGTTTCTCGCGTGCACTTTTCTAAAAAATTCCCAGGGTTGCCGTTCATGTTGAAGAGTTTCCGCGAGAACTGAACTTCGACCTTCTTGTCGGCTGATTCGGTGCAATGGGTTTCCACATGCCCATGGAGTGTTTTCATGCCGCTGCGTTTGTGCGAAGGGGTGGTAGCTAAGAAAACTTAGAATACGTGAGGTATTCGCTGCCTTCCGGTAAACCGTTGTTTTTAGTTCACCATCACCTTTTCTCTGAACAAGTATGTCAAGAAATGCCAACTGGCAACATTTTTTTCCTCTATCGTGAACTGGATGTCTGGAAAGATTGATTTCAAATGTTGCGTTAATTCTCCAACCCTGTTCCGATTCAAAATACAAATGTGTCATCAGCATACCGTACCCAGAGTTGTGGCTGATAGTGGTCGAAAGCCAGTGCTGTAACACTTTCTCAGCAATCAAGATGGATAACGGCGACCCCATGCGTGTGCTTTTAACTTGTTCGTACACAGCTCCGTTGAAGGGGAAGAAAGTCTTCAAGCTACAGGAGATTACAAAGTGTTGTGTCTTGAGTTGTTTGCCCATTTCGTTAAAATATTCTTCTATCAAGGTTTGCAGGGTTTCAACCGCGAGATGTTGTGGGATATAGGTGAAAAGTGAAATCACGTCGAAAGCGACCATCATTTCGTCATCTGTGAGTCGAGTACTTGCAGCATTCAATTAACTTCTCCACAGAGTGGATACTTGTTTCGGAATTCTGTGACCTTCTTTTCCTTCAATGAAGATGTGTACGAACAAGTCAAAGGTACGCCGATGGGTTCGCTGTTATCTAGCTTGAGTGTATAATCAGGTCAACTTAATTCCTTGACTTGTTTTTTGACTCCCGTTTTCTCATATATTAATGGGCTGTCTTATTTGCTCTTACTTAGCTGAGACAGAGTTAGAATCCACGAAAAACATGAATAATAGCGGATTAATTGTTGATATGGCCGTAGTGTCTAATTTTTCCATCGCGACTTCAGCAGATTGGGCTCCCTTCAACCATATATATATATGCTATATCATCTCTTGGACGACTTCGGTCTGGCAGATGACGGCCTGTTCGTGATCCCTATCACGCATATGAAGCTTGTTCGCTTCGGGAAGCCAATGGATCGACGTACACCCAAAGTATTGAAGCGTCTTATCTGGAAAGAAGCAATCGACAGGAAATGAGACAAACTGAAGCGATCATCGCCGAGATCTGTGGACTGCATAAAGTTGACGAGCCCACAGCACTACTAGGATTAATAGTATCACAGACCGGTGCACTCAAATAAACTGGAGCTCGTTGGCTGACTCAGTTATTTATATAAATAATAAGCAAGGAAAACAAGTGCTTGCTGGGCGTTTTTTCGCCATCTAACCCTAAAATGGACTCGGGTGCAATACGAAAGGGTTCGCAGTGCAGAAACTACTTGTAGTAAACTAATCTCCCTTCTGACGTTTTTGTCGCCGTCTGCAGGCATCATTTGCGACCGAGTCTCCCCGATTTTGCTACTTTTCGGGGAAGTTGGGAAGACTAAACCTCACTTAAGCCTAAACACCTCTGTCCCCTCCCCCTCTTGTATCACCTGTCCTCACGTTGTTGCCTGGACAGAATGACAAAATGCGTCAACAGTGTGCACGTACCATCGAGCGTTCCTCGCTCTCTCTCCCCCCTCTCTCTCTCGGCGAGTTGGTATTGTAAGGCCACGTCAGACTGAAGTGCTACTTAGGGAACGTTATTTCCAGACACCATCCCCCGCAGTAGCTTCACATTCTCACGCTCTGTGGCCGTCTGTCAATTAAAAATTCAGGTACGTCCAGATAAACTAAACAGCAGAAACGTCCGATGACATATATGTCAACCATGAAGACATCGATGCCTTGCTGAGTTATGTGATTTATGCAAGGACGGTGAGCTAGGAGATGAGGAGATACAGCATAAATAGTGCCACATTAATTAGCTTTATTCATGTAATTGATTTTAGGGGACACAGCAACAATAGTAGGAACGACAGTGGCGATGATTATAGCGGTGGCGGTAGCAGTAGTTTACTCGATGGTTATAGTATTAACAATAAATTAGTACTAATATTGAAAGAGCCTGTGACACTAACATTGGTGTTGCAAATAGTGGAATTTGTTACCATGACAGTCGTCGTAACAGCGGAGGAAACCATCAGACGGCAGGTACTTAAACCGAAGGGCCTGCTGCCACGGCAGGAAACGTCTGGAGTCGTTTATCGGATCTGCTGCAGTTGAGGATGAAGCAACTGGGTCGGGGAAGCCGGAAGACAGCTCCGAACGCGAAAGACCGAGCACGCTGCAGCGGTGCGGAGAAATGACGCCAGCTCGCAAGTTGCGGCTCATTTGACGAGATCCGGCTGCATATTCAAATTCGACGAAGCCGAAATTTCCGCTGGAGGTGACAACCGCGTGAGCCGGGAACTGCTTAAGTCATCGTTCACTGGCCCCCAGTCCATTAACAAGTGCAATGACCTTCCCATGCCATACTCGGTGCTGAGACTTCGCCGAGGCGGAGTAATTAGCCACGCGGAGAGCGCACAGGTGAACACTGTTCCCAACGCCAGCGTCAGTGGGTCAGATGGTCGAGCGACCATCACACCAACATCTGACACACGCGATGACATTTCAGCGATTAACGACGCAAATGTCGGTCATCAAATAGTCATCACACCAAGTATAACGATCCCTGATGCAGGGGGAACCGTGAATATTAATAGGTATGCGGTAGCATGGCTACTGCATACCATAAATACTGAAGCCCATTGTGCATAAACTACCCTTATCTGCCCTTGTTACTGATGATGTGTTTGATCAGGAATCCGAAACGTCAGACTAATAAATCTCTTGTCCCAGCGATCGTGTCTACTTCTTCTCGACTGCTTCTTGGGACTCGTCTCTTCGACTCTATTGGGAATCAGTCACAGTTGTCTTCAGAGCAGTGTCTGAATAAATCAGACTACATTGAGATTATCCTGTCATTTTTAGGAGAAAGTTCAACGTATATGCCTCTTTCCACGGACCCTACGAAGGGGCAGAATTCATGGATTCACAAAGTCCTGCAGCGCCTCACGGGAACGAAAAAACTGCCGGGAGACATTGCAAAATCTCTGAGACAATCCGAACCAACCATCGCCAGGATCTACGGATTGCCCAAAGTTCACGAACCCGAGGTACCACTGCGACCGATAGTATCATTAATCGATGCTCCCAATTACAAAACTACTGGGTGACTATTCCACCAACTTCATCCACTTACGAGAGACTGTAAAACTTCCATTCAGAACTCAATAGAGTTTCTAGAGAAATTGAGAGGAATCACAAGTTCCGTGGATGAGATAATGGTCCCCTTTGATGTCGTCTCTTTATTCACGACCATGCCAATATATTTCGCAAGGCAATGCACAGATGAGCTCCTAACATCCTATGACACGGATGTTCCTGCAGCTGCCTTACTCGAACTTATGGACCTTTGTTTAGAAACCAATTTTTCTTTCGATCTCCAATATTATCAAGAACTAACAAGTGCTCCAATGGGATCACCCATATTTTGCCGATGTGACAATGCAGAAATAAGAGTCAGTAGCTCTTCCATTAGTTAACCCTAAATTATGGGTACGGTGTGTAGATGACAAGTTTGTCGTCGTTAAAACGGATCAACTGTAAATACTCCACAACAAAATCACTTCAACCATTCCGGGAATTAAATTCACGCTCGAAAAAGCAGTTGACAATAAACTCCCATTTCTCGTACAGCGCAGAACTGACGGAACAGTACACACGTCCGTTTACCGCAAAGAAACATGTTCGGAAATACTTCTACACTATGAGAGGAACAGTCCGATCTCTCACAAGCAAAGTACTGTCAAAAGTCTGATACATCGAGCAAAAACACATTGCTCTGATGAAGAAAGCTACAAAGTTGAACTAAACTACCTTTTTGAATTATTTTCCCAGAACGGTTACCCTAGAGATTTCGTACATCGATGCATGAGGCAACAAGAGATAAAAGCAAAGGAACTAGATAGTCCCAATCAAGCGTCCAAGGCAAACACTGGGCGAATCCTTCCTAACATCAGGAATGCGTCTGAACTTGTTGGAATACACTTGAGGAAACACCAGATAAACGTGGCGCACAAGCCGATGACTACTATACGCACTCAGCTTGTACACCCTAAGGATAGGGGTGGCTACCTCGATAGAAAGAATGTCGTCTATAAGATCCCATGCGATGCCTTTGATGCCGTATATTGTGGTCAAACGGGAAAATTTGCCTCTACACTCCTCCCCGAACATCAACAAGCTGTTAAGAGGCAAGACCACTTGTCTCAAATGAGCACGCGCACTCTTGATACCGGACTAACTTTCGCATGGGACGAAACTTGAAGCCATGCACTCCGATGAGCCATGCCTCGGCGGGCATATCGAGCTAGATGCCACGTACAAAAATACCAGAGAAAAGTGGAAGAGACGAAAGCCGATCAATACGGACTGACGCACACGATGGCCGCTTACTGGCCGAAGCACCGAATGAGTATTGATTTTGTAGCTCTAGGACTCCCTCCCCGCCCCCTCCTCTCTGACGTCCTGAAGCGGCGCTCACCGATCGTTCTACGGAACTCACTCGTTCCGTTGTGCCTTACGGGCCCTCTCTCTTTCGAGCTCAACCAGCAGCCGCACAGTGGCGCATAATATAAGCCGAATGTTATTACCAACAAGGACAAGTGAGACTGAAATTGACATTTCTGGCTTATTAGCCGTCGTCAGCTAGTCATACCCAACCTCGAGCTTTAGAACACCTTGGGCTCGAGCTCGCGCACTCTTAGTTATGAGTACAACGCCTTTAACCACTGGGCCACTGGCAGCTTTTTCAGACAAGCATAAATTCCGGAAGCGTAAAATATAGAATAGATTATGTTTGAATTTATAGGTCTCTGAAAAATCGTCGGTAAAAATTCATGTCCTTTAAGTAATCATTCTTTGTGGAATTGCTATTATGCAAGCGGTCAATAAGAAACGCGTTTGAAGGCCGTCAAACTGACACTGACTGGAATATCTAGACGTTATGCGACATGACAGTTAATATGAAAACACTACTTAAGTAATCTTCTCGAATCAACAGCACATTTCAAAATTTCAGTCAGTGCTTCATGATATAGCGTATCCGCTGTGTGTTTTGTCCTCTAAGTAGGCGCGTGATCCTTACTCGCTGTGGTTTGAATCTTGCTCGATCGCATTCTATCCACATACCAGCTGTTCTCCTGGTGGCAATGAACGTCATCCCAGAGGGCAAATGGAATCAAGTAAAATTTCCAACCAAAACAAATGAGGATCACGCGCCTACCTGAGGAGTTTATATACCTCATTTCATCATCCACATGGCAGACCCATGGCGTACCGGGAATCAATACTGATCAGTAAACAACTGTCTGCGTCTGTCGCGGTAGGATGTTAGAGGGTGTACTATATGTTCATATTCTGAACGTTGCATATACAGTAGACGTGCTAACTCATGAAATGTCAACCAAAATTTCAAAATGCGTTTTCCTTTCGAAAAGATAAATTAAGTAGTGTTGGAAAACTAATCATGATGCAGCATAAATCTATTATGATTCAATTACCACAGGGTGTCGGCTTTCGAAATAACGTTTTTTTTCGCTGCATGCAAGATCTATACTCTGCAAATAATGACTACTAAAGTAGCATGCAATTTTCTAATTGATTTTCGATGCCTTTGAAAATTCAAGAATATTTCATGGAAAACGTGCATAAAAATATTCATTCTTTTACTTGTTCGG